GAATAACTGGAAGTTATCCAAAAAGGGAGGCATGTAATGGTTGGGGTTGTAAGTGGTAAAAGAGCTAAATCTGCATCTACCATAACAGGAAGTCAGTAGCATCTCTTGGTAATTTAAAAGTACCTGGGGGCACCTGGGTGGCTCAGTCGGTTAAGCATCAGACTCTTGGTTTCAGCTCAGATCATAATATCATGAGATCGAGCCCCACGTCATCAGCGTGGAGCCTGCTTGGGATTTTCTCTCTCCCTCTCTCTCTGTCCCTCCCCCTGCTTACACTCTCTCAAAATAAACATTTAAAAAAAAATAATTTTAGGGGCGCCTGGGTGGCTCAGCCAGTTAAGCATCCGACTTCAGCTTAGGTCATGATATCGCCGTCTGTGAGTTCGAGCCCCGCGTCGGGCTCTGTGCTGACCGCTCAGAGCCTGGAGCCTGTTTCAGATTCTGTGTCTCCCTCTCTCTCTGACCTCCCCCGTTCATGCTCTGTCTCTTTCTGTCTCAAAAATAAATAAATGTTAAAAAAAATCTTTAATAAAAATAAAATAAATAAATTAAAAAATAATTTTAGATCATAATAAGAACTATGAAGGTAATAACAAATTCTGAACATTCTGCTATATTCTAATAATCCTATAAGTTTGGAAAACAGATTCAAGACAGGTATTTATGATCCATGTAGTAGATTAGATTCAAGAACACTAGAACATGATTGATTAGATGTCTACATTGTCCACACGGACATAGATCAAGGCTATCGTTAGAAAAATGTCCATCAATATCCTGAAGCTTACCAAGTTATATCCATTAAGTTAAATAAGTACAGCGTTCTGTGTGTCAAACATCCCTCAATAAAGTAGTTTAAATGTATATATCCTGAAACAGCTATTTAATAGCAATACAGATTCACAGTATATATTCTACCAAAAATGTTAAAACAGATTCCATTGAACTAGGAAGCATGTTCAATCTTTATATGACATCGGTAATAGAGGAGCATTAGATTTTGCCTTTGTACATCCAGAAAATATTTTAATCTGAATAATCTTTAGGAGTCCCCAGGAATCTTATAATTATCCAGTTATCTCTATAGCTCTATGTGCCTTAAACCCAGAAAAAACCCTGCAAGTAAGCATTAATAGTATTCCAGAATGGATGCATAACTGGGAAGTAGGAGCTAAGTATGGTTATGTTGAATCTTTTTTTTTTTTTTAATTTTTAATTTTAAGTAGGCTCTACACCCAATGTGGGACTTGAACTCATGACCCTGAGATGAAGAGTTACATGCTCTATCGACTGAGCCAACCAGGTGCCTCTGGTTATGTTGAGTCTTATACCAACTTGATGAACCATTACTGGGAGTAGGTGAATTATCAGTCCCCATAATAGTCCCCAATCCCTTTGCCATGGCCTCCAGGTCGTCAGGTCTTTCTCTACCCCTTCATTTCACACTTGGCCATGTGACTTGCTTTAGTCAATGTGAGTAAACATGATAGGAGCAGGGGCTTGAAATGTGCTTGTGAATGGGCATTTGGGCTTGCTCTCTTACACGCCAATAATCTGCCATGATTGGCAGAGGCAGAGCTTCCCTCTGACTTCAGCCCAGGTCCTAGAATGTGACTCATGGAACAGAACTGTTCATAGACCTGCAGCCTGAGGCCAAGCCACCCCAGCTAACTCTCATATTGCATGGGCAAGAAATAAATGCTTATTGTATACTTCTGAGCTTCTGTAGTTTGTTACTCAGCATTATCGTATCAATAGCTGACTAATACATATTCCAAATTAATCTTTCCTATGATCTTACTGATACATGGCACAGAGCTGAAAAAGGAGGTTGTATTTTGGTCTCTAATAGTGTCACGGGTTGGGTTCTCCAGGAAGCAGATGCTGAGATGGAGTTAGGACTACAAAAGGTTTATTGAAGAATAACACCTGTGAAGGTGAGTGCCATCAGATGGCAGTGCAGACCTGGTAGAGTCCCAGCCAGCCCAGTAGGGAGCTCTAGAGCAGATTCCTTGATGGAGGGGTCCTGTGTCCGGTGGAAATGGCTAGACCCTTGTACTGCTGTCTGGCTGAGTCATTGACTAGGGACTGCCCATAAAGAGAGTGCCCTTAGCTACCACGTCTGGCCAATCATTGGCTGGGAAATGCCCCAGAAATCGTATGACCTCTGTTTAAAAGCTGAGATGGAGCTTGTCAGCTTAACCCCACTCCGTGCATCTGGGCAGCTGGTCCTTTCTAGGAGGGGATCTGAGCAGGCCATCTCCATGTTGCCACAAACAGCTTTGAGGTAGTACATGTAGAAAAAGATAAGGAAAGGCATAGGAAGCTAATGAGCTGTTTGACAGCCTAGAAGTGTTTATGTCACCTATGATCCGGTCGTGCTGCCAGTTCCTTCAGACGGAAAACAGTACAGGACTCTTGGTGCTCTCTCCAAGTCCTTCTGCCCCAGTCCTTTGCATCTCCATAAATGGCAGCACCAGCACTCCCATAGCTGCTCAAGTGAAAATCCTAGCTGTAAGGGCTCGGTCGGTTAAGCGTCTGACTCTTCATTTTGGCTCAAGTCACCATCTCACAGTCTGTGAGATCGAGCCCCACATCCAGCTCTGTGCTGGTAGCCTGCTTGGGATTCATATTCCCTCTCTCTCTCTCTCTCTCTCTCTCTCTCTCTCTCTCAATCTCTCTGCCCCTACCCCCATGCCCTCTCTCGCTCTCTCTCTCTTTCTAAAAAACAAAAAACCTAGGTGTAAAGAAGAGCTTTTGGAAACAAAAAAGTATAATTGCTAACTTTAAAAATATGATCCTTATTGTAAAAGGCCATAATGAAAGATTCTGGTGAAGTTACCACATTCACCAGAAGGCTGCTGCTGGCTTTCATGTACATTTTGTTGAATATACCAACTTGTTCTTTTTGTTTCCTGTATGGCAGTGTCCTAATTCCCATCATCTTTATCTCTATGATTTTAAGTTTCATCATGTACTTTCCTTGGCTGTCATAACTTTTTCCTTATCTTCGCGATTTTGACCGTAAGAATTTTTTGTGTCCACTGTGATACAGTGATCATTGTACTTTATAATTATATTGTAATGTTCTTAACTTTCTGTTCATCTTTTTTTCACTTCATGCATTTTGCTTCCCGTAGCTTACCTTCTTATCATATTTGAATTTTGGTATGATAAATAATTTGAAAAGAATAGAGGCATCTGGATGGCTCAGTCAAGTGTCTGACTCTTGATTTCAGCTCAGGTGATGAATTCAAGCCCCATATCAGACTCTGTGCTGACAGTGCGGGGCCTGCTTGGAATTTTCTCTCTCTCAAAACGAGTAAATAAGCTTAAAAAAATGATTTGGAGGGGCGCCTGGGTGGTTCAGTCGGTTGAGCGTCCAACTTCAGCTCAGGTCATGACCTCACAGTCCGTGAGTTCGAGCCCCGCGTCGGGCTCTGTGCTGACGGCTCGGAGCCTGGAGCCTGGTTCAGATTCTGTGTCTCCCTTTCTCTGCCCCTCCCCTGCTCATGCTCTGTCTCTCCCTGTCTCAAAAATAAATAAATAATTAAAAAATAATTTGGAAAGAATATACAAAATTGATCTGAAACTAAGACATACAAATAACGATTCAAATGTGTTTCAACCACGGTGTTATATTGCACCACATTATTGTTATCAAACTGTTCTTATAATTCATACTTTGACATACTAATGAAAATGTGTGGGAGGTTTGTCACAGAGCACTTGTTTCTGAGGTTGTTTTGCTGCCTCTGGGACAGTTTAGCAGGCCAGAATCCATCAGACTAAGGTGCATCGGGCACCCAGGCTTGCATTCCAATAGACTGGGATGTATAGAACGCAAGACTTGGCAACGGATGTACTTGGCTACCTGCAGTATTGCTGCCGGTTTGTGCAGAGGACACAGGAATTGTGATCAAATCTATTTTATGTAATTCCAAGCAGAAAAAATTGTGTGATGTGTTTATAGTTACATTCACAGTGTTACTGAGTATATTCCTAACAAAAGGGATTTTTTAAAAATTATTTTAGAGAGAGAGGGTGAGTGGGAGCGGAGGGGGGGGCAGAGAGAGAGAGGGAGAGAGGGAATCCCAAGCAGACTCCACGCTCAGCTTAGAGCCCAACGCGGGGCTCAATCCCACACCCCTGGGATCATGACTTGAGCTGAAATCAAGAGTTGGACGCTGAACTGACTGAGCCCCCCAGGCCCCCCGAAAGAAGAGATCTTCCGTTCTGATTAGGCATTGGTAGAAACCGAATCCTCCACTTACATTCTCACACCATGGCAACTGGGAGAATTTTCCACCAGCTACCTCCTGGCTTCATGCATTTCAAACCTGCTCCCCCCCCACATCTCACACATGTCTGTCACCAGGCGCACTAGGGCAGGTTCACTTCTCCTTGAAACCTCTGCCCCCACCCTTGACCACCCAGAGAAGCCACCGAGTCTTGTCAGCAACTGCCCACCACACCTAAACTAAGTGTAGCCATCTGATAGGAGTGGAAATGGAGCAGAAAGAGACAGGGGTGTTGGCCATTTGCAGTGAAATAGCTTAATGCTTCAAAATTTACAAAACCAGGAGCATATTGCTAGAACCTCCCAAGGGGCCCGGGCCAGTGAGGGACCCTCTGTGGCAGTCCTTCCCTTCTTAGTACCCCCCGCCCTGACCCAGGGCTGTGACACCAGCTGCTCTCCAGAACGCACCAGCCCCCTGTTCTGCTCCCAATCACGAACTCACTCCCACATCTGGCTCCCAGGACTTCCCTCTGGACCACCTTCCCTGCTTTCCACTCTGTCGTGTCCTCATTCCCGCAAGTACTTCCGCGTCCTTCCCCAGACAGCCCTCGTGCCCGTCCGTCGCCCCTATCGGGCCTCCAGGATCCAAGCCCGCGACACAGCGGTGGTGGCGAACCCACTGATCATTTTTGTTACCATTGCATTATTTTGAGTCGGATTTGCCTCTTTTTAACGTGTCACCGTGTTCTCCCTGTTTCAGATGAGAACCCTTCAGCCTGTGCCCACCTGTCTCATCAGCCCCCCTGGGCCCAGCCTCCCAGATTCATCTACAGCCGCCTCTGTCGGTGCCGCTCCAAGTGCCAGTGTGCGAGGACGCGCGTCGGCACCAGAACAGAAGTTCTGTCCATCACGGTGCACACTGAGGTCAGCTGACCGCCCTGCTGGCCAGCTTCACCAGCAAGGAAGCGCCATGTCCTGGGGCGAGGGGTCGGGTGGCAGTCTGTGAATTGACAGCCCACAGTTCATACTTCAAGGGGGACACTGTCTCTGATGAGATGACTCGGGGTCTTAGGAGGTTTGTAAACAGTCTCTCGTGTCCCTGCCTGAGTTCAGAACTACTTGAGAGACGTAGGAGCTGGACAGGTGGAGATAAAGCTATCAGCTTTCATACTGAAAAGCTGATTAGAAAGGAGGGCTGTGCATCTGTGGCCAAAGGGACTGTGAGTTCATCTCACCCGCCCTGAAGCAGGCCCCTCCTGAGGGCAGGATGCTGGCTCTGCAGGTGGGCAAGCAGAAGATGAGTGATTCCATCCGCCTCCCAGACACCACCAGTCATTTCCTCTGGGAAAGGAGGAAAGGGAGCAAGGTGGGCTAAGAGACTAGAAGTGGACACAAGCCCGCAACCTGGATTCCATGCCTTTAAAGGGTCTGTGAAGTCCCTGAGATTGAATGGTGTGTGTGTGTGTGTGTGTGTGTGTGTGTGTGTGTGTGTGGTATTTCTCTTTAAAAAAATTTTTTTTAATGTTTATTTATTTTTTTTTTTAATTTATTTTTGGGACAGAGAGAGTCAGAGCATGAACGGGGGAGGGGCAGAGAGAGAGGGAGACACAGAATCGGAAACAGGCTCCAGGCTCTGAGCCATCCGCCCAGAGCCCGACGCGGGGCTCGAACCCACGGACCGCGAGATTGTGACCTGGCTGAAGTCGGACGCTCAACCGACTGCGCCACCCAGGCGCCCCTAATGTTTATTTATTTTAGAGAGATTGAGACAGAGTGTGAGCAGGAGAGGGCCAGAGAGAAGGAGACACAGAATCGGAAGCAGGCTCCAGGCTCCGAGCCGTCAGCACAGAGCCCAATGCGGGGCTCGAGCCCACGAACCGCGAGATCATGACCCGAGCCGCAGTCGGACACTTAACCGACTGAGCCACCCAGGCGCCCCATATGTGATATTTTTCTAGAAAGCCTGCAGTAGATGTTGTAGGTCCTTGACCAGATAGATCCCTGTGACCCACCCCCAAGGGCTGCCATGAGCGTTCCTGTCTCCCCACTCCTTCGCTGAATCCTCCTTGCCCTAAAGGGAGTTCCTGGCCTGAGAGACGACACCTGCCCCCCACCAGGGGAAATTGACGGACTTGGAGGTACAGAGGCCACCTCTTGCCTCCAGATGGCAACAGCTCTAGTGCAGTTCACGCTCCAGGGCATCTCGGAGGTCAGGAGGAAGCTATTCTCCAGCTGAGGCCACTTCTTGCTGAGCTTTTGTCCCCTGCCAAGCCTGCTTTCCTCACGCCCCTTCCTGGGGCGCTCCCTCCATACATTACTTGTACAAGAGCCCTTGTCTCAGCCTCGGCTTCCAGGAACTTGACATGATTCAGAGTTCATGAGCTCTCATCAGATCCTGAAGGTGGTTTATGATCCTGCAGTGGGTCGAATGGTGGCCCCGTGACATCTGTGTCACCTTATTTGGGAAAAGGGTCTTTGCAGATGTAATTAAGGATCTTGAGATGAGATCATCCTGGATTAGCCAGGTGGACCCTAAATCCAATGACAAGTGTCCTTAAAGAGACAGGCAGAGGAGAGAGACACACAGGCGGAGGCTACACACAGATGGAGGGAGGCCATAGCAAGAGACCGTAGCAGTGTAGCCACAAAGCTGAGGAAAACCTGGAGCAGGAGCAGCTGGAAGAGGCCAGAAAGGATCCTCCCTTAGCCTGAGTCTGGCCTCCAGCACTGTGAGAGAATGCATGTCTTGTTTTAAGCCCCCCAGTTTGTGATAATTCGTTTCAGCAGCCACAGGAAATCAGTGCTTCCGAAAGGCTAAGAATTCCATATAGTTGTGGCAATGCCAGAAGTCCTTCCACGTGCAAAAACGACAGTGGGGGGGGGGGGGGGGGGGCGGGTTGTTCCCCGGCCCCCCACCCGCATCGGTCGCTTCCAGGGTCCCCATCCCCAGGCCCTCTTGAAGGACCGAGCTTGTCGGGAGCCTGAACGTTGCTGAAATGAAGGGGAGGCTATCTGCCTTCTCGCATCACCCCCTGAGCCGTGGATCTGCCCGTTTGTTCTTGCTCTAAGAGTAACTGTAAAGGCCTTTTTTTGTTTCCCTTGGGATTTCCAGCAAACCAGAGCATGTCTTCCTGACAGTGGTTTTCAGGATCGTGTCATTTTCCAGGATTCATCTCTGATTATGCTTCCTTTCCTCTATATTTTGTTCATCCTCTCAAAAAAACTAGCTCAACAGGGAGCTCATGCCGGCACACTGGACTCCTCTATTACTTCTCTCTTTTTATCTCCATCATGATTATTCATGATTGTATAATCAGGATTTCTTTTTAAAGAAGCTCCTCACTTGATATTAGCGGACAGAACAAAAGGTTCTTGATTAAATGGTGGCTCTTTTCTGCCCACTGAAAGTCAAAAGCTAGTGAAATACTTTGATCAAAATGAATTTTGATATCCAGTCTATGAGAATAGCAAAAAAAACTTCCAGAAGCAATTGAATGGCTGCATGGACCAGTGCTTTCAGAGGTCAAGAGCCATCGTTCCGGAGGTCTGTTTCTAAACAAGGACCTGGAGAAGGTGAATCTCACGCCCGTGCGGTGGGGTGTAAATGACTCATGCCAGGCGCCTGGTTCACGGGCGTCTCCCCTTCTCCACCTGGACCCTTGCACCAGCTTTCTAATTGTCTCCCTGCGCCCAGGTTTGCAGTCCTCAAATCCCAGGTCCACCATCCTGCAAGATCTACTACAACACTGATACCCATACCCCCTTCCCTGCCCCCCCACTGTCTCCTGTAGGACAGAAGCCACACTCCCCAAGGGCAGGCCCAGGCCTTCCAGACGGACCCTGCCTCCTGCACAGGCCGCCTTCCCGCACAGCGTGCTGCTCCCGCCCCACGCTCCTCACCTTTATACCTCTGCACGCGTAGGGCCCCCGTCTGCATGCCCTGCCTCTGCCCTGACCAGATGGCCCTGACGACTCCGCTCAGGTGTCATTGTCACTGGAAAGTCTTCTCTGGCCCTCACTGTGCTCCCATAACACCCTGAGCCTATTTTTATCATAGCACTTACGTCAGAGTTTACAGTTCCCTATTCTTGTGTCTGTCTCCCCAGCAGTGAGGTCCCAGGACAGGAAGTGGGTCTTCTGGATCTTGGAGTCCCCAGACCTAGATCAGTGTGTCAAATGAAGGTTGAATGAAATCTCTTGCCTCGTAGAAGGAATATCAGGCATTCGCAATGCCTATTGTCCATTCTTTCATCTACCCTGTAAATTATTTTGGAAAGTTTGAAATACTTTCTTATGTTTGTTTTTATCCAGAATAAAAAAAAAACTAGAAATTTTATAATTAAAAAAATCTGCTATTTTTTCATTATTTTTGTACATCCACTAAGTTCTAAAAACTATTTGAGGCAAATCATAATAGAAAAGCATTTAAGACACACCCCCACCAGAGACAGACTTGCACTTCTGCCTTGTTTCCCGGGACCAGGTCACGTGGCACCCTGCCGGCTTGGAGGCTGGAGAAGCAAGTAGTACAGTGTGTGTTCAGCTTCCCAGCGGTTCAGGGAGAGGCTGTTGGAAATGACTGAACAACCGAGAGTGTCTGCCACTGAATGTCAATAGCATTTAAGAGTCATTAATCAGATTCCTTTCTTATTCAACCCAGGAATCCTGCCTCACTAGCAAATAAGGTTCGTCTATTCAGGTTGTAAGGCACTCTGAGCCTCTCTTAAGAAAAGAAAATCATTCTGAGGTCCTCCCCACACCCACCCACCAGACAGCAAACCAGCCTGGGAGCCCTGGTGCACCATTCAGAGCTCCTTTGGTTGCCAGAAACAGGAACACACACACACACACTCATCATAAACGAAACGGGTTACTGCCTCCCCCGACCGAGCCACGGGAGATGTGGGGGCAGGGGGGCTTCCCTGCCTGCATCTTCGAAAGCTTCTCACCAGCCATCTCTTCTCTCCACCTCTCCCTGGGGGCTTCAGTATAACCCTGAAGATGAAAAGGAGCACATGTGCTCTTTCCCACCCATTCCAGCCAGAAGAGGCCCAGCGAAGGGCTCTGATGGGTCCGGTTGCAGTCTGATCCTTCCCTGAACCGGTCGCCACAGCCAGGGGACGGGTGCCCACCCTGTGGGAGGGTGAGGTGCTAAGATGGGTCGCCCACCGGAGTCACGGGCTAGGATGGGTGAGGAGTGCCCCATGAGACCAAAGAACAAAGAGCAGGGAGGAACAGGCACTGGGCACGCAGCGGCCGTCCACCCCGCCGGCCGGTGACCGGGGCCTCCGGGCCGCTCGGCAGAACCTCGGCCTGCTCAGGGCGGGAGGGCCCCCCCTGCTTATAGTGGCTTGTTCACGAGAACGGTCTTCTTCCTGAAGAGAAGGGCAGCCCCTCCCGAGAGGCTCTTTGTAACGGTGCCGCTTCTGAGACCAAACCAGGCGGCGCATTCACGTTGCCCCTGAGGACTGACTGCGTACCAGGCACTGTCCGTACTTCATCGAACTTCATCCCTAGAACACTCGCAGGAAGTAGGTACAATTACCCCCATTCGACTGATGAGAGACTCTCACAAGGCAAGTGTGTGGCAGAGCCGGAATGTGAGCCGGGTTGGTTGATTCCGGGGCCCCTCGATACCGAGTAGAGCTCGTGATCTCCGGGGACTGACCCGCGCAGGCACTCGGCTCCCTGAAGTCTGCAGTGGCACAGCTATGTCACCTGCGTGGGGATCACGCCCACCCTGTGTGTGGACGCCCTGGGCATCGTCCACTGCGCCCTCGTGTGATTCCAAGAGCAAAGAGCCTTGGGTTTCGGACCGCTTGGCCCCTAAAATCCAGTGTGCGCCCCCACCCCATCCAGAGTTCACAGAAGCACCGACACCCATTCCAGGCTGGCGGAGAATCTGTTGCATTCGGCTACAAAGAGGCCGCCTGTATGGCCCCGGTGAGGTGCCTTCCCGAGGGACTTGCAAGGGGGATTGCCCGGAGCCACCAACTTGAGAACCCAGCCGGAACCTTACGCCCTTCGGTGCAGCTTGCCTACATCATCAGAACAGCTGTGATGGAGCCTGGGAAAATAAACACGTCCTGGTTTTGGCTGCTGACCTTCTAGCCCGGACCGAGAGCCAGCGCCCGCCCCACAGCAGAAGTGCCACCTTCCTCAGTCCCTCGGGAGGCGGGTATGTGCCAAACAGCATCCGTGAAGTCAACCAGCTCCTTGATCGCGACAATCTGCCTTTCAGACCCACGCTTGGATTCCCAAGTTGGCTTTCCAAGTAGGAAGAGAACACAGCATGTATTTCAGTCCACTTGATGGTTGCGGGGAGAGTCTATGGAAGCCAGAGTGTGCCCTGCTGGGCCAGGTCCACGTTCATCCAGTGCCCCCTACAGGGCCCGGCACGCAGCAGGTGCTCAGTACAGGTGTTAGATCTATCTCTGCCTAATGGTGGGGGGTAGTCTCCTGCCACAAAGCCTCTCTCCCCCGCTTCCTTCCAGCCAGTGTTTTTTGCTCTATCGCCAGCTTGGGTCCGGATGACTCGGTGGCCACAATCCCAAGGCAGGCCTCCAGTTGTTTTGCCTTGAACTCTAGAGAAATCCCGGCACCACCATCGCCAGGGTTGGCCTTGCCTTTACCAGCAGGTTGTTCCATGGCTCTGTGGGGTTTGTGTTGCCATCAGGGCTCTTGTTCACTGGTGCCCAGAGAAAGTCCTGACTCTTCCTCGGGCGTTGGGCGTGTGTTTCAGGATCCACCACTCATCCCCCTGCTGTCGGTTCCTCCAGGTCCCTGGGCGCCACCCGCCGCGTCCTTAGGCTTCAGCTGGAGCTAAGGCAGAGGGACAGAGTTCTATGAGATCGGCCATTCCTGTCGTTGACATTGTTTTATATTGTTAATGGTCCACGGACCAAGACTTGAAATTGTTTACATTGTTTTATATTGTTAATGGTGCACGGACAAAGGCTTAAAATTAACTATTCTAAACTTTTCTACCTAAGGGCACCTGGGTGGCTCAGTCAGTTGAGCCTCCAACTTTTGATTTCCGCACAGGTCATGATTCCAGAGTCCTGGATGGAGCCCTATGTCAGCTGCGTGCTAAGCCTAGAGCCTGCTTAAGATATTCTCTCTCTCTCTCTCTCTCTCTCTCTCTCTCTCTCTCTCTCTCTCGGCACCTAAGTGGCTCAATTGGTTAAGCATCCAACTCTTTTTTTTTTTTAATGTTTATTTATTTTTGAGAGAGCCGGAGAGGGGCAGAGAGAGAGACAGGGACAGAGGACTGGAGGTGGGCTCACACTGACAGCAGAGAGCCCTATGCGGGGCTCCAATTCACAAACCGAACCATAAGATCATGACCTGAGCTGAAGTCAGACGCTTAACCGACTGAGCCACCCAGGCACCCTAAGCGTCCAACTCTTGATTTCAGCCCAGGTCATGATCTCACAGTTGGTGATTTTGAACCCCGCATCGGGCTCTGGGCTGACAGCTCAGAGCCTGCTTGGGATTCTCTCTCTCTCTCCCTTCCTCTCTGCCCCTTCCCTGATTGCTCCTCCCCCCCCCACCCCAAAAAATAAATAAACATTAAAAAAAAAAAAAAAGATTCTCTCTGCCCCTCCCCTGGTCACATTTGCACACTGTCACTCTAAAATAAACAAACATTTCTACCTAAGTTAACCAGCCATCCAGCCCACCTGGTGAGGGCCACAGAATGGCAGAACAGTGACCTTCTTGTTCTTCCCCTTGTCTGCCCAGTCTTCTTACATTGCAGTAGTGGCTCCTCGGGTCCCACTCCAGGCCCCAGCAATGCCCAAGAGGGTACCAGGTCCCTGCGTGGAGAGCACGTGACATAATGACGGTACAGGGCTACCACACATGCGGGGAAAAAGTGCTATGGGAAGAAAGCAGAAAAACAATACCATTCCCATGGCTCCCAGAGCCACACCTTGAGCACCTGCTCACAGAAAGAACACAGCTGGGAGGCGGCATGCGGGGGTCTTGGGAGTTGGTAGTGGCAGCAGATGAGCAGGGAAATGGAGGCAGGGCCCCAGGAAGGTGGTGCCGAAGACTTTGGACTTGATCCAAAAGTCAAAATGAGCCACAGAGGGACTGTCACATTTGGTGCCCAGGGATGTCCCTTTTGCCTCTGGTTAGACACAGTGGGTGTCTTCTCCTTCGGGAGCCCCTCATAGTCTCATAGTCGGGGCGCCTGGGTGGCTCAGTTGGTTGACCATCTGACTTCAGCTCAGGTCACGGTCTCCCGGTTTTGTGGGGTCGAGCCCCGCATCTGGCTCTGCACTGGTAGCGCAGAGCCTGCTTGGGATTCTCTCTCTCTCTCTCTCTCTCTCTCTCTCTCTGCTCCTCCCCCACTCACTCTCTCAAATAAACTTAAAAATTAAAATTAAAATAAACTTAAAAATTAAAGATGATACGTGTGTGTGTCATGCAGAAAAAAGGACTGGGACGAGAAAGCAGCAGGAGGGGGCAGTGACCCCAGTGTTGGGCGGTCTTGGAAGCAGAGGGACAGGCAGAGACTGACCTTCCCTTGGTCATCAGGGCGTTCACAGCTGCCAGCCAGGGCCACACCCAGGGCTCAGAACTAGAACGAGAGGAGGAGACACTAAAATACCGACCGGAAAGTTCTCATGGTTTGTGGGTGAGGACCCAGCGGTTTCCGGGGGACCCCCCCCCCAATGTCAGTGTCTATTCGTCTTTGAAAGTAGTCCATTTATCTAGAGGGGAACTTCATGGGTTAGGAAACTGAGGCCCGTAGAAATTAATCTCCCCAAGACCCCGGAGCCTGACAACAGAGCAGGGATTCAGATCTGTGCCCATAAAGACAACAAGGTACCATTTGACAGCCACCAGACTGGCAAAAAAATGTTCAAATGGCACACTAGGTGATCGTGACAGTGGGTTGAGAGAGACTCATTTTCTGCTGGGAGTGTCAATTGACAACATCATTTTGAAAACAATTTGGCTGTATCTGCTAAAATCGATGCGTTTAATACCCAGCGAAACCAGAAAACATTACTAGAATATCCATCGCAGCACTGTTTACGACAGCAGAAGTCTGGAAACAACCCAGATGTCTACCAACAGAACAGACGTACAAATTGTCGTGGAGCCCTGGGGTAGAATACTTTGCAGCAGAAGAAGGGAGTGATGCACAAGTCAACATCGTGCCGAGAAAAAGAAGTCACGGAATACACGTGCTAACCAGGTCTTTGTTTAAATTCAAACATCCATCACTTAAGGACACCCATATGTATGTGGTGAAACAGTTCAACATTATCGATAATGTCTATATCTTAGGCGGGGTGGCCGACACGGCTGCTAATGCAGTCC